ACTGTCCCCTGCCACAGGCCAAGTTTAAACTGGCAACGACTGTGTTTTCAAACCAGGAGAAAAGAAGGGGAGAGAAAGGTGAGAGTTATGGAGGGAGAACACAGCATGTCTCGGTATCATATCAGTTAGTTAGAAGGGTTTTGTTATCAGTGGATATTTCATTTTACATGCTAATTCCATCATCTAATGCTCACTTAAAGGAGTAGTTCAACTACCAAGATGTCCACGTCTTTCTTTCTTCAGTCGAAAAGAAATGATGAAAACGTTTCAGGATTTTCTCCATATTCAATGGGAACCAAACGGTTCAAGGTCCAAATGAGAGTTTCAGTGCAGCTTCAAAGGGCTTTAAACGACACCAGACGATGAATAAGGGTCTTATCTAGCGAAACGATCGCTCATTTAAAAAATAAATAAAAAAGTTTAAGTTTTATAATTACAAACGCTCGCCTTGCTCTGTTCTTTGATGAGCGTTCGTGACTCTCCTGTTCGAACTCGTTCATCAAAATGAACAAATCTTTTTTCGAGTCATGATTTGAAGGGTCCTAGATAAGACCCTTATTCATCATCTGGTGTCGTTTAAAGCCCTTTAAAGCTGCACTGACACTCTCATTTGGACCGTTTGGTTCCCATTGAAGTCCATTATATGGAGAAAATCCTGGAATGTTTTCATCAAAAACCTTAATTTCTTTTCGACTGAGGAAAGAAAGACATGGACAACTTGGATGACATGGGGGTGAGTAAATTATCAGCAAAAGTTTTTTAAAAGTGAACTACTCCTTTAAAGTTAATTTTTAAAAAATGTATTTATTTAATAACACTGTTTACCGATGTCATTTTTAGTAAAGCTCAAAATGAATGTTCATTTTTAATTTCGTATATACTGTATGTCCAAATTCACTTGTTGCATTTAAGACAATTAATTGTAGTGTTTTATTTTTCATTGATAGGCTATATGCACAATAGTATAGAAGTTTACTATCACACATATATTGGTTATTGGTCATAACATATTTAACAACTTTTCGTATATCTGCCAGAATTTTAATATCAGTGCATGCCTACAAATAAAAGGTATGTGGTCCTCTAAAATAATACCTGTGAGTTAATAGCTAAATCTCAACAACAAAATGCCTAGTGACACATTTCAAAGTGTATATAATGATTTATTTTCTTTTTATCAGGCATATCATCAGGCGGCTGCTTGTGGAGCTATACAGTAAATTTAAGGTGCTCTTGCCTCGCTGTTTTTCCCATATTCTTTACAACTCTGCTTTTACAGTTTGGGAGTTTGGCAGCAAAACAAAGCGCTCGGCATTGTGAGCAACAAATGAGACGTTGATGACTGATTTATGTCATGAGAAATAAACCAATCGGCAGTCTTGTAAGGACACCTCAGCCAATAGGCAGACAGTGATCGCACATTCCTGATGACAGGCAGCACATATCTCACATGGATTTGCATGTTAGGATCAACTGCGAGTCTGAGCGCTTTCCGGTTAGGGTAATATTTTAGCTGTAGTCTATTAAAGCCATAGCTCTTTAGAGGGATCTGTTTGTAGAAAAGGTTAACAATCAGTTTAATTAGGAGCAGAGGCTGGGGCGCACGCATGAACTCTCCCGGTCTGACACGCACCGCTCTACAGGGAATTCACCATGAGTGACGTTCACCGTGTGTGTGTGTGTAGATGGGAAAAAGAGAGAGAGAAAATTAAAGGATGAAAGAAAAACAGAGGGCATGTAAGTGAAGAGGAGGAACAAAGTAAGAAATGAAGGGAGGATAGACCTTATCAGCAAAGTTAGTCCATTCAGGATTTCCTTCCAAACAAAAGAGAAAGGAAACTCCAACTCTCAAATGTGTTACATGGATATAAATCTGTCAAGAGCACTAGTTAAGATCATTGTTGGTTTTTTCAAGCTTTTTCCAACAATTTCTTGAGGTGATTTAAAACAAAGACTGTGCACAAGACATAAATTACAGTTTGTTGCAACAACAATAGGTGAAAATGTGTTTCCTTAAAGACAATTTCTACCTGATTGGTCCCTTAAAATGACTTTCACTTTTGCAACCAAATGAAGATAGATAGAATGGTTCACTCAGTTTTGGATAGATGGATAGATGGATAAATGGATAGATGGATAGATGGATAGATAGATAGATAGATAGATAGATAGATAGATAGATAGATAGATAGATAGATAGATAGATAGATAGATAGATAGATAGATAGATAGATAGATAGATAGATAGATAGATACACTCTAAACAATGCGGAGTTGTTTCAACCCAAATTTGGGTCAAATATGGACATACCCAAATGTTGGGTTAAAAATGCAATATATTTTTTTTTTTATTTAAAAAAGAAATTACATTTTTAACCCAACATTTGGGTTTGTCCATATTTGACCCAAATTCGGGTTCAAACAACTCAGCATTGTTTAGAGTGTGTGTAGACAGACAGACAGACAGACAGACAGACAGACAGACAGACAGACAGAGAGATAGATAGATAGATAGATAGATAGATAGATAGATAGATAGATAGATAGATAGATAGATAGATAGATAGATAGATAGATAGATAGATAGATAGATAGATAGATAGATAGATAGATAGATAGATAGATAGATAGATAGATAGATAGAACATAATGATAATCACCATCTGATATCATCAAATTACCAGCACGGTACTTTATTGTAAACAAAACCAAATGGCCAAAGCATAAAATGACCCAATTTACATGCACTCTAGAAATGCTGGGTTGTTTTAACCCAACTTTGGGTAAAATATGGACAAACCCAAGCGTTTGGTTAAAAATGTAATTTAAAAATTTTAACCCAATGGCTGGGTTTGTCCATATTTGACCCAAAGTTGGGTTAAAACAACCCAGCATTTTTTAGAGTGTGCCTTCCAACTCAAACAGAATAAATAAAAAAGGCAAGATATTGCCTTCGAAAGCATGTAAATAGTACAAAACAGGTAGTCGCAACAATCTAACAAGCAGTGCTATGAGTTTGTGTGTCAGGTAGGTAACTAGAAAGTGTAGGGGTGTGTATCGCGTGGGCTGTATTTTGAAGGCAGACGGTGTGAGGCTCATTAAAGCTGCATGGATCTGAGTTCTGGCAGAGGTGACAGACAGGTGGATAGGATTACCAGCGAGCCCATCAGGCTCAGAAACGCGCATGCTCGGCGGCCTGTCAGCACGGGGATCGACGCACACACACCCTTTACGCCTTTTTAAATAATTAACAGCCAAAGATTAGTCCGTCAGCCTCGGGGCCAAAAGGTCCATTGATTTCTTACGGATGCATTTTTAATGAGCGCATCTCAGTGAGGCAGTGTCCGTGAAGAGAGGCTTCCTTGTCCAACACGGCACAAGAAACACCAGCATCTTTGCAATGCGCTTGTGGTAAAAACACAAACAAAGCCAGTAAGTGCCTCTCTAATGTCTCGCACTAACGTTCTCCTACACAAAGGCTTGAAGGGAAAGGCCTCAGGGGTGACCTTAAAAGAACCTATGGCAAAATGCTATTTAATCCGGCCCAAGCTTTTCCTTTAATTGGTCTTGTGCGACCATCCATAAAGCTGTTGTGCCGACGGCATACTTCCTAATCAGCCTTTATGAACTGTAAACATCTCGGCACCAGACTCTTTAAAGTGTTAGAAGCCTTGAATTAAATTTGTATCGCATTTGGTAAGCGTGACAGACACACTAAGAAAGTGATCGCAGCCTCTGCGGACAACGCGGCTGACAGAGTGACTGACGGTGTCAATTACGTATTTCCCTTTCTTCGCAGTGTAAAGTATCACAAGAGAGGGACACATCAACCTGAGAATCTGATTTAAAACTGTCATCATTCACTCACCCTTAAGACCCCACTTGTATGGACAAATTAAAACACTGACATTTTTTTTAAGTATCTCCTTTTGTGTTTCATAAAAGAAAGTCATACAGGTTTAGAACAACATGAGGATGAACTATCCCTTAAATGTCACAGCATTTCAGACAGAGTGTGCTGAATAAATGCCCTTTTTAAAAGTGACCTTACAATGGTGACATTTGGTAGAACTTATGGTTATAGGCCTCTGACAGGCACGGACAGCCTTGACTAGAATAACAGAAATAAATACGGAGTTTAATAGTGCTTATAAATGGAACGAAGACAGTGCAGTGAGTATGGTTTTATTTTACGTTCTTATTGGTTTAGGGAGGCTGTGCATTCCTTAAATCCAGAGAAACAAGAGGGAGTTGTTGAATAACCAATTCAAAAATCTAAAACCGATGAGCGTGTCTGAAATAATACTGCTACAGAAATAAAAATGGAAACCCGTGCCATGTTTCATTCAAGAGCGACTGTTTTTCTTGCTGTCTGCAGGGTAATATTTCAAGGGTTCATTTTTCCTTGAGATGTGTGAGAGGGAAACGTATCATTATGGAAAATCAAGGCGTTTGCCCATCTAACCCATGGATACGTCTGGTTTGAAAAAGCGACACACTTCCGAAAGAGAAAAAGACGAAAGAAAAACAGAAATGACTTCTTCGATCATTCCTCAGATTTAATCAATCATGCACGTGGTTACTATTATCGCAACACACCTTTACACATTTGAATGAGAGTGTATGCACTGTAAAAAAAAAAAATTTTTTTTTTATATTCATTTTTTTTTTATATCAAATAAAATATTTGAATGAGAGTGTATGCACTGTAAAAAAAAAATATTTAAAAAAAAATATTTTTTTTTGTCAAATCAACTTAAATAATTTATTTAGCTCAGATAACTTATTATTTTGAGTTTCTGATGATTAAATCAATCTCCTTCATTGTATTAACTCACTTTTCCCATTTCAATCCACTTACAATTTTAAAGCAACCAGGTTACTTCATTTTTGAAGATAAACCAACAATATTTTTTTACAGTGTGTTTATGATCCGATTTGTTTTTGAAGGGGGAGGTGAGAGGAGCAAGTGAGAGTTTACATAAGAGTGTCAGGACTACCTTTCCCGTCTCCCGCTCGAAGTCCACATATTCTCGGGTGGGCGCCTGCCGCTGGTCCCCATGAAGGTTGGCTGGGAAGAACTGCAGCGAGAGGTTGGTGCCGGTCGCCACAAAAGCCTTTTAGAGGGAAATCAATACAAACAGGATAAGAAAGCCAGGCCCGAGCATAAATTATGCAGCCCGTCATTTCTGTTTTCACATCAGAGAGGAGAGGAGAATGCCTGGAGCCAAGGCCAGCGCTCAAAACATCAGGAAAAAAAAAGGGAGGAGGGGATGAATGGTGAAAGAAAAGAAGAAAAAAAAACCTAACCAAGTCATCATTTTCTCTATTTGAGGCATTGAGTTACACACATCTGATTCTATTTTACCAACGCTCATTGCTGGCAAACTGGTCTGCACCAAACTGAGTTTGAGAGAAGGCAGAATACAGGAGCGAAGAGAGTGATGGACAGATAACAGAGAAAGGGAGGAGTAAAATCAATAATTGTTTTAAATGCAGCCCCTCACTTACATTAATAGCAGCAGGACTGCTGTAAAGGTTTTGAATTATGGGGCAATAATTCAATCACGTTCTCAAGGAACATAAGCAAAAAGTGGGATTGTATACCAGAATTGTCTGGCGTTTCTAAAAATATATATTAATATATCTGATTCACTCTCACTCATATGCTCAGACATACATCAACAATAATTTTATAAATACTCAGCATCATTGCAATGGGATACAAATAAAGAGATGAGGAAAGTTGCTCTCGCTTTGTAATAGATCTGTTTGCCTATCAAAATTGAATCTACTGTTGATGTTAGGGGTAAATAAGGCCGAACATGATGACCACATCTCACTGATTAAAGTGCACATCATGCATGTCACAACACAGCAAAACTGCATAGGACAGCATGGTGAGAAAACAAAACACTTGTAAATTATACAAGCACAGTGAAATAATTTAATTTTCAGTGTCCTTGTTATTTATGTATGTTACATGACTTACCATAGTAATAACAGTAAAGTACATGCAACTAACCTTTATTATATATATATATAATTACACTGTAACAATGACACCTTAAAATAAAGTGAAACCTAATTCCCATTTTATATTAGAAATGCTTAATGTTTTTCATTACTACTTCTCAGTAAACTATAACTAGATAAGGTTTTGTAAATTGATGTTTATGATTAAATTTTGCCTGTAAAATTTAATTAAATAGAAAAAAAATTACATCAAACAGAAAATGTATTGTTTATCTGGTCTGTGATTTTATAATAAACAGAATTTTTGTAAAAAAAAAAAAAAAAAAAATCTATTCTTGGAAATATTAGGGTAGCTAAATGTATCTCAAACAGCCCTGTATAGACATGAGATAGCCTACAAATAAAAAGATAAGTTATCCAACCAGTCCAAAGAAAAAGGTACGACACAAAGCCAATCTAGTGCAAAACAACTTTAAATAGGCCAATATATGTTAATGAAATAAAATTTTAAATAATACAAAAATAATACAGGAAATAATGACATGCAGTCTCGAGGTATTTTTTAAAGAGACTGCGAATTAGACACGTCCGGGTTCCTCAGCCCCCGTGAGACGCGCTTCTGATAGTAATTAAACGAAGCCGAAAGGCACTCTGTTTCAGCATTGTTTAATTATTTGTAGTTGTAATAATTAAGTGAATTACATACAGCACTTTACCGATAGGTCAGTAAAACAGGATATGGTTCATAAATATTCTCTGCAGTGTTTGGCGCTCATTATGAGGAAGTATTTTGAACATATGGTGATGTCGTGACAGTTCCTAATCACGTTATGTGTTTGAATATTGAGTAATCAGCAATGATGCGAGGGTCAGTAGGAAGTGACCGGTGCGTGTACTCACTATCTCTGAGCGGCCGTCACGGCACGCGTTCTGGAAGCGCGCCTGCCTCTCCTCGTGCGGCCGGTCACGGAAACCGGTGTATTTAATCTGTGAACAGGGGTGAAAGAATAACAAAAGAAACAGTCTTGTTATTAAAGATCTTAAATCAGAGTACAGCGTAAAATATTTTCATCTTTAACATCTTTATCTTCCTCCATTTAACTTGGCACAATCATTAATTTAGCCTAATTTATGGTTTTTCAACGCGAATTTGTCCTTATTTGAATTGTATTCTTGCAGGATTTGACTGATTCCACTTTGAATCGTCATTTACTTTTAGTGGGTTGGATTGCTATGTCCTGGGTGAAAAAAAAATGTTGAGATTATACCCAAAAATGAACTTTGCAATATGTTGGAGGGGGAAAAAAACAACAAAATTCGCACATTTGAAATGCAAATTGCCTGGTGGTATTTTTCAATTTGCATTAGAAGTAAACAAACCTAACTATTAGGCGTATTAGGCTACTAGAGTCAAAAGGTGAAGTGCAAAGGTGCGTCTTTCTTTCAGATATTACGCTACATCTTTCTTTTTCTTGATAGAGATGCTTGCAATAGTCTAACGTAATTTTGAAAGGTTAAAACTTTCCTCAGCAGTGAGCATTGTTCTCTACACAGAGGCTGTTAAAGAAAGAAACGATGACACGCTTGTTTTAATGTCACACACGAGAGGTGCAACTTTGTTTCCGCCACTTTATCAAATGTCTCGGATGAATCGCGCTCACCTCGCACTCGCGACTGAGTTTCCTGAAGAACTCCTCGTTCTCGAACTTGCTCCTCTGATCCGGGACCACCCGAGGCATCTTGAACGCGTTTTGATCAATTTTGTTAATTGTATTTGTCTAAACTTGCAAAGAGAGAGAGAGTGAAGCGTTGCCTTGAAACTCGCCAGTCCCGCTCTTATTTCCTTCCGTCTTTTTTCTTCTTCTTCTAATGATGGAGTGTGTTGCAGTGAGCTTCGCGTTCTTTTAAAAGATAAAACCTTCTTCGGATTCCGCCTCTTGTGAGGTGTGTGTGATCTGTGCTGCACTAGATTTGGCAGTAGCCTAGTTTGCCGTTGGCTTCTTGTTGTTCTTCCTCACTCTCGCGCGTGTGATCTCCGACTGCTGACAACAGACGCTCGCTCGCGCTACTTTACCCGTCGCATGAGCTGCATGGCTCACATTTACTTCCTGGCTCCTCTGAGTCCGACTTATGACTGTACACCCAAAATACTCCCCCCATTCACAATTCTCTCCACTACGGACCGTGTGTGCGCAGGCGTTAAATACACCACAACTTCACTGCGCGAGATGCTCGGTCGTTTTCTTTCTCGTTTTCTTAAAGTTGTTACCTGTGACAGAGATGGTGCAGCGACATCGTGTTAAGTGATTTTCTCAGAAGCAAAATGACATGTGCCCTCACTAGACAGGATGTTTACACTGTTATACAGATGTAAATTATATTACATTATAATATTACAAGCCGATATTTTAATATAAATCAATTTAGAGACATCCTCCACTGTTCGTACTACCAGAAACAAATAAGCACAGAAAGACAAAAATACTATTCAAATAAATTATCTTCTCATTTTATAGATAAAAAGAAAGACAGATACACGATAGACAGACAGACAGAGCGATACATGGGTAGATAAGCAGACGAACAAGATAGATAGATAGATAGATAGATAGATAGATAGATAGATAGATAGATAGATAGATAGATAGATAGTATAGATAGATAGATAGATAGACAGACAGACAGACAGACAGACAGACAGATAGATAGATAGATAGATAGATAGATAGATAGATAGATAGATAGATAGATAGATAGATAGACAGACTTTATAATGATTTTATGATCTTGCGAAGATGAGTGTATTACAACATCTGTGGTAAATATTTGTGTGTTGAGACATATCTTTCTTTATCGAGCATGTTTTAAAGCTGTAACTTCCCTCAGGACAGAGGGGGAGGAAGAGAAAAGAGACTGAGAATGGGGAAGTGAACACATCAGAAACATCCAAAGGCCTCCATGCCCTGTCAGATCTAGCAGACGGATTGCATCACTTTAGTGCGGCTTACCACAGCTATAGTGTGCGACTTTCAAAAATCTTTTAAGCGCTTCAACTGTCAGAATATCACGGCACATATGACATTACAGTTAAAAGTAGTTAAGCTATAGGATGCTGAGCAGAGGATCTTCTATCTTCACAGGGCAAAGAATGTGTAGCTTGTTCATTTTGAACTCAGCCTGGATTCTATACTTCCTACATTGTTTATTTCTTTCTCATTAAACACACCCATCTGTTTTGGGTAACCACATTAAAGATGATGGTTATGTGCTCTTAGTAATTGTGGAAAATCTGTCTATGGAAATATATTGGTATAACCCCGCCTATTTTAACTCAAATTTAATTGTATTGACATATACTTTAAGAAAAAAACACCCCACTTATAATTGTAAAGTAAATGTACACTCTGTGCGTAAGTGTGTAAAGGCCAATTAAAAAGCTATACGGCCTCAGACTACATGAGTCTTTAAAAGAAAATTGTCAGCAAAATTAACAACTACTACTGTTAACTATAGCTAAAAAAAAACTAAAATATTGACTCAGGGCTTAACACTAAGGATTTTATAGATCAGATATTCACTCGCACTGCCACAACATTCACTGACCCTGCCTAAATAAATAAATAAAGAGATTACTTTTGTTATTTTTGACCTAAGTTACTTTTTAGATTCTGAAAAATCACTAAGCGGTAGTTTCAATTTTGATATTTTTAGGTCAAACCGTTCTTGTCTATCAGTCATATAATGTAGGTCTATGGTCACCACCTAAAAGAGCATGCACAGAGAAGTCCAAATAAAACATGATTTAATGACTCGTAAATATAAATACACACTGATGACCCAAGACAGGAAACGAGCGGTTTGTGTGAGAAAACGAACAGTATTTATATTGTTTTTTACCTCTTGTAACCACAGCCACTTCCAAGTGATCTGAAGGCGGGAGCGCTTTATGGCTGTAATAACAAGAGGTAAAAACGATATAAACACTGTTCGTTTTCTCACACAAACCGCTCGTTTTGTGTCTTAGGTCATCAATGTGTACTTACATTTACGAGTCATTAAATCATGTTTGATTTGGACTTCTCAGTGCATGCTCTTTGAGGTGGTGACCATAGACCTCCATTATATGACTGATAGACAAGACCGGTTTGACTTAAAATTATAAAAATTGAAACTACTGCAGAAACAAAGACACCTACTTCTTGGATGCCCTTAAGGTAAGCTAAAACATACCAAAAATTAATTTCAAAGTGAGCTATCCCTTTAAGAAATGATTAGTTTAGCAACCATTAGCGGCAACTCCCATGGCACATTCTCATATTAACACTCCTGTTGTGTTGTAGACCTGCATTAGTGCCATTAGTGTTGAACAACATTGCGTTATCTAATCTCACTCTAAAAATGTTTAGCATATTTTGACCAGGACCATAGAGTATAATAGAGTATTTGATGGGATTTTGTGTTCCGGGACTCCTTGTATGCATGTGATGAGTTTTAGCTTGTCTCTGTTTTTCTCTCGTTCTCTTCCTCATGCATCAGATTGAGATCTGCGGTGAGTTAATGTGTTAAAAGGCTGTGCTTTGGGCCAAATGGGGCGTGTGAGTGCTTTAATAGCACCACATAACGCTCATTAATTAATGAAATATTCTGTGGTTACCGTCTGAGACCCATTTTGACAGAGTGCTCGCAGTCTAGAGGCTAGGTGTCTGTTCCAATAGGTTTCAACTGAATGGACACAGAAGGTTTTACCACTAAAGATCCACTTAGGGGTCACTCTAACTTTGGTAGAAACATTGGTTTTTTTTTGTATAGAGCAAAAGTTTTTGTTTGTGTAGTTCTCAGCAGTTTTGCACCTCATTGTTTCTAAATTGTTTGCCGCTCACTGCGCTGATAGAATGCATAAACAACAGATCAAGAAATCCCCCAGATTTGTACGTCTTCAACCCATGCAGTATTGCAAGTGATGCGTTGATTTGAGAATGTAAGTAGGGTAATCTTTTGTTCAGGTATGATATTAAATATTAAATTGCATCAGGCAAACAAGTCAGACACATAATAGCTCTGCTGACTATACAACTTTGGCTTTGTTGGTGTGTGTGTGTCTGCACTCTGAATGAAGCTCAGGTGCTGTCGAGATAATGATGTGATTTAAAAGCCTACCAGACATTTAGTGAAGAACCTAAACATAGCTCTGGAAGTCTGACACACACACTCTGCTACTGGAAAAAATAACAATAAATAAAAACATGACCTTATAAACCATTTAAGAGGTCTGGGATGTAACTGACATTTAGCTGATTGTTGTTGTGAATAGAAGCTCTATGGACAGAAAAATCTATCTAGGGCCTATCTATCTATCTATCTATCTATCTATCTATCTATCTATCTATCTATCTATCTATCTATCTATCTATCTATCTATCTATCTATCTATCTATCTATCTATCTATCTATCTATCTATCTATCTAAAATCTCTTTTGTTTCACAGCTGTGTCCCAACTTTTTTTGTAAACACTAATTAGATCATATCAAAGTTGGTCAGTCGCCATCTTGAAGATTATTTTTTCCATATTTCACCTGCTTGAAGTTAAACAATAATAATAAGGTAAAGCTTTACAGAATTTTTCTTTTGTTAACAGTGTAGTGGTTTTAATGAACTAATGAAAAACATTTAGTAAAACATCTTTAAATATCTTTTTTCAAAAAGTTGCATGCTAACATAATTTAATGGACCTGCGGTAACTAGAAATTAAGAGTTGTTTTTATTAACTATAGAATTTACAAAGATTAATAAATAGTCTGGGGTACTGTAACAAATGGATTGCTCATTGTTAGTGCATTAACTAACATTAGGTAATGAGACGATATTGTACACTCTAAAAAATGCTGGGTTGTTCAAACCAAAATTTGGGTCAAATGTGGACAAACCCAATTGTTGGGTTAAAAATGTAGGCTAATTTAAAAAAAAAAAATACCATAGAAAGTGAGAGTTGGGTTAAACTTTTAAATGACATTTTTAACCCAACATTTGGGTTTGTCCATATAGTTGACCCAAATTTGGGTTAAAACAACCCAGCATTGTTTAGAGTGTAAAATGTTACCAATGATAACAGGCTATCAGGCCTATTTTCTGTCAAAACAGCTCCAGCACTACCACAAAAACTAAATTTTGATAATGTCCTTCCACATATAAATTATATTATTAGGCCTACATATAAATAATATGGTAGGCTATAGGCTATATTTATAAGATGGTGTTGGTGGTCCATAGGTCTATTGAGTGATAGGTAAGGAAAACGTGCTCTAAGAACCTCTGAACATGATTAATGTATCCTATTTAATTTCTTGAAAGCCTCGATGAACTTCGATGTACTTATTATCCTGTTTTGTCCTAGAAGTCTATTTAAGAATCAGTGTTGTCTATCTGTGGGAGTTCACGTGGGTGTGCCGTATTTACACACACTAGTTATTAGGCTGCTCTCAGAAGGCGACGTCAGTGACTGTGAATCAACAGCAGTTTGAGCGCGAGATGATTACCGAATCCCCGCGGCTCTCCCGGTTCTCACGCGCAGGTGACAGTTGTCGCTGCTGTAGGCTACTCTTGCACCGAGGAACTCGAAGGGGTGCCGCAAGGTCAGACGGCGAGACTTCCCGGGTTTGGCACGGGTGTCCGTCAGTCAGTCTGCCCGACTCGCTCATTGAGACAAAGCTAAATAACTACAGTTGAAGTCACTCTCAGATTTCAGGCGGGAGCATTTCTCCCGCCTGAAATATGAGCGTCTGTTCTTCAGTCAGTGTTGTCGCGAAATTCATCAGCGTGAAGAGGTGTGTGTGATGATACGTGAGGCTCAGTTTATTTTAGAGTGGCATAATAAAAACTTACTTCACGTCACGTTTGTTGTCAATGTCTAAAGAGGCCAAATGATTCATCTGACATTTACAAAAGACTAACCCCATCGGCAAGCATTTTAACGTGCTTTTTATAGTGACTTGTGAATTCTGCAGACTTCAGTCTTCTTTTTATAACCAGGTATATTTGGGAGGGGAAATGTATTAGAAAATAAAATGTCACTGTGTCGGCGAGGTCGAGTGGCCTGGACTGTTTCAGTTCCGATTCTGTCCACCAGAGAGCGCGCTTACTCGCGTGTTTGCTTCTATTGATCGACCTTATTTAGAGCAGCGCCATGACGGATATGAAAGCGAGGCTATGAGGGATAGACTTACCTCCGTGGTAATAAGCTGAAGCTACTATCACTTAGCTATGACTTTCCACAGCTCATGTTGTCTGGAGTTTTATTTTTGTGTAACTGAAATGTCTTGGAAAGTGTTTCTTCAGGAGAACAATGAAAAAACACATTAGACCTGCTGACCCATAAGAGCCTCACTTTCATTCCTGTTAAAAATCAAACAATGCGTTGCTGTGAATAAGGTTTATTGTGTTGTCTACTAACATTTTATTACCAAAAACCAAATTAATTAAATTCATTTAGTTAAATTAAAAACTAATTTTCGCATCGCTCTCGGTTAGTTGACAAATGGGGAGAGAGGGGCACAACGTAACGTGGGGTTAGTTCTAACACACTTGTTTTAAATACTTCCACTATGCTAGCATGACAAAATTAGTTGCCAAATAAAAAAAATGCGCCAAAACTCAGAAATCTTTGGAAGATATCACTGAAAAGCAGCAGTTGAAACACTGGTAGGCTAGCCTACAGTTGTATTTTTGTAGGCTAATGCATCAACGCTTTTTTGTGTGTTATTGGGTGTGTTTTAAAAATTGGACCCTCATCTGCAATAAAGTTTGGTTGATTGAACATTAATTTAACCATAGAAAAAGTACATTTCTTACTTAAATTAATTTTTCATCTATATATATATTTTTTTGTTTATTTAAAATTAGACACATCTGATATTATTTTAATCTCCAATATGTTATTTAACAGTTGATATACGGTAGTTCTTTAATGCTTCGCTAACTAGCAGAAGAATCCCAGTTGTGCAGGCAGGGCATGTTGTAACACTGCAGTACAATGTGCCCCTGGAATGCTATGATATTCTATACTTGTATTAATTCTATTGAGAAAACAAGAGAAAAGGGTGAATAAAGACTGAGAGTCAATGTTCAGAAATTATTCATTATTTTGTTTTTAACTATTCTGTAGCTGTGTTTTCCCGTGTTCATTGTCAAACTCAAAAATTACTTTATTTTTAATTATTTCCAAAAATTCCATTATTTTATAAATGTATATATATATATATATATATATGAAGAGTTCAGATGCAAAAGCCTCTAAATGCCATTTGAAAATTTTCTTCTTTAATGATGATTTTTATCAAACTTGCATATTTAAGTTCAGTAATTTCACTTAAATAACAATTAATAGGTAATTATCATTGCCATTTAAGTGAAATCACTGAACTTAAATATACAAGCTTGATAAAAATGATCATTCTAGAAGAAAATTTCAAATGGCATTTAGAGGCTTTTGCATCTGAACTCTTCATATATATATATATGATAGCATTTTAAGCTGACATGTTACATGTGCCCCACACATTGGGGTATGTTGTCACATTTCACTTCCATTCTTTCAGGGTATATCAAGAAAAAACTATACACTGAAAACAAATCCCAGAGTGAGTTGTCACATAATTCATGGTACATGTTGCAGACACACTTTATGAAATAAGATGTCAAAATAGCCTGCCATTTTCCATTAAATTCAAAGAGTAAAACAATCGTGAAACAAAACATTTGAACTTTTAACTTATGGAACCTTAGATTAATTACTGAGATAAAACTTACAGTTTGTGACGACTTTCCATTTATGAATGTCCTCTTTTCAAGGACGTACTTCAAGGGTTTTGGTCCAGGTGTCAGTTTTCGGGAGTGATTGCGAGAGGAACAGGTATATTGCACTGCATCATTCCATCAGTGCGAGGACACAGGAGTAAACATGCAGTTTCCATGGCAACAGCGACTTTGGGGTCTTGACCTTTAATTGTGGCATAAATTTAATCAGCATTTTGTGCTGGCCTTCTCATTGCTCACCATCACCACAAACACACATACTGTAGCCTACACCACCTCTCGCTCTCTTCAGCTCAATGTCCATTATTATCCTGCAGGGTGTCAGCTTGATGCATAATGTGTTTAGAACAGAAGAACAAAATTACTCTATTGTGGCAATGCAGAGACTGAATGGATTTATGCAGTGTGAAATAACAAATTCACACTATAAAATTTGTGACAAAATACATAGCAGTGATGAAAGCATTAAGTATTGCATGCTGAGGAAATCTGCACCAGGCTGTCTCCTAGCAACAGACAGACTATAGGGCTGCACTATAAATATCCTTTGTGTGTGTGTGTGTGTGTGTAGAAAAATAGCTGACAGGGACAAGGTCCTGGGATTGAATTTTAGGACATACCAAGACACTACACTGACTCGTCATTGTGTGGTTACAAGATGAAATACTTCAGCATCAGAGCAAACAATGTCAGCTACTAGTGATGGTCAGGTGATCAAACAGAATCCAGTCGTTTTATCTTACAGTTACTCACAGTGTTCATGTAATCATATTAAAGAATTAGTGAATGATTGTGTGCAGCAGAATGTTGGTGGAGATATAATATTTGCTATATTTATTTAAACATAATTATCCTAAAATCTTCATAGGGTTCGTTTAGTAGTTCTGCAGTAGACCTGTTGGTGGCACCCATGAGCCTGGCACCATCTAAGCCTGTAGACTTGACATTGTTCTTATAGGTGTAAAAGAGACTACCTATCACCACCAGAAGAGGGGGAAGGACAATTTCCTTATAGCTATATAAGCCTCTGTGTTGATTGGGGTGGACTGAGTCAATAGCAATTACCTCTGCAGTTTCCCATCATTATCTAAACACACACAAACTCTTCCTCTCGTTTTCCTTCTCTCGCTATCCATATGTGAATCTCTCATTGCAATTACCATCCAATCAGACTGGCACAAAGCGGTGCTTCCTCTTTTGAAGCTGTGGTGTAGAGTGATCTCCTTCTTTCTCCAGGACCGTCTGTCTGAAGACACACTTAAAGAGGCACAGAAACATAATTATGTCCTTTGGGATTCAACCACACTTCCTCCATGTTGCCTATATTGCATATTAAGACGCCAACAGTTTTGTTTATAGTATACTTATAGTTCTTTATACTGATCTAAGGAGTCTTGCACAACAATGGAAAAAGAGGTAAAAGCGATATAAACACTGTTCGTTTTCTCACACAAACCGCTCGTTTCGTGTCTTAGGCCATCAATGTGTACTTACATTTACGAGTCATTAAATCATGTTTAATTTGGACTTCTCTGTGCATGCTCTTTGAGGTGGTGACCATAGACCTCCATTATATGACTGACAGACAAGAACGGTTTGACCTAAAAATATAAAAATTGAAACTACTGCGGAAACAAAGACACCTACATCTTGGATGCCCTTGAGGTAAGCTAAAAAAATATCAAAAATTAATTTCAAAGTGAACTATCCCTTTAAATGAGAGGCCAAAACGCATAAAGTTGTATGATTTAGTTGAAAACAGTATTGTGTACACAACCCTCTCAAACAGATCACCTAAATCATAAATACCGTCTGTCCTTTTACGGTATGTAACGATGTACTAAAAACGTAAAGGTTTTTTCTTTGTACAGATGACAACAATGACAATTGATCCCTATTCACACGGATCCGTAAAAATGACTAAAAACGCAGTATTATTCATGCCAGGCCAGTAGGTGGCAGTGTCACTTTGTAAAGAAACACTATGCGCCTATAGACTGAACATGTGCATGCCTTCACCGTTTTCACAGATTCACGTTTTTGTGGCGGTAACAGTATCGTTTTCAAAAACGTACACTTTAAAACACGTTTTCTAAAGTTTGCATAAAAAATGCATACATTTAGTTCAGTTTTTAGTTGAAATGGCCCCTTAGTATTGGATTAATGGTGGATAAGTTCACATTTCTCGCATTTTTTTCCATTCCTATGCTAACTGATCTCTGCTGGTATCTGTATCACCTCATTAGAGTCATAAGCCCTCATTTGAGCGATCATAGCAGTGTAAAGGCCAGCACACACCGGGACGAATATCAGCGCGCGTTATTCGCCAGCGTTTTTCAGCGCGTTTTGTGTTCACACCCAAGCGATTTTCGCTGACGATGAGCCGAGTGAACATGCAAATTCATTCCCTGACATTAGATGGCGCCAGTTTGCTCTGTAATACCACTTTTATCAAGATGTTTGTAGTCACAGTCGCGTTTGTCATATAGTTCTTTACGTTCTAACAGCAGCTCTACATTCATCTTGCCTTGCATCTTCCTCGTCTTATTTCTTCCTGGCTGTGTAGACGGCGACGCTACTTGGCGTATATCTTCTTCCCCGATGCATATGTGTGCTCGGCAAGACCGTTTTGTGTTTGAGCGCCCCCAAGTTGTGTTTTACTGTAACTTCAGAAGTTCCAAACACGTGAGCAAAAGCGCCAATCTCATTGGTCAGATCATGTTAAAAAAAAAAAAAAAAAACGGACCCGAGGCGTTTTTTAAAAAAAACGAAGCTTTTACGCGTGGCGTTTTACGCGTTGGTGACACTCACATTGGCGCCCTTTGTTTAGTCATGAGGCGTTAAACGTAGGTGAATATCACGCGCGAAATTCGTCCCGGTGTGAACAGGCCTTAATATATTCGACAAAGCAGAAATGAATAACAATCAAAAGCAAAAAGCTCCAGGTTGTAGTCATGAAAACTGTGGCTTTTAATGTAAACACTACATTCGATTGGTTTTCCAGCACGAACATCCCACATGAAAGAACAACCATTCACTAAAGAAGAGGGAGAAAAAGCAGCACAAAAGCATTCACTTGGAGAGGAAAAAGAAAGGATTTAAAAAAGAAGGGAAGGAGATTTAAAATTAACAGTAGTGTAGGTAATTGTACAGGTTTTTTTTCTTCTATTTTTCATTGATTTCAAACTGAGAAGGCAGAGAGGGAGGATAGATACATCTTTCCAAATCTACGTGTGATAGGTGAGAGCTGTGCTTTTCTATGCAGACCTGGAAGGTGTTTGAGTACAATTCTCAAAAAACCAAGAGAAAGCGCATGAATCTGTACAGCCGTGCACAGCCCCGCCCTCTCCAGCACCGGGGGCGGGGCCGTGCCACCAAAAAAAAGTGGTTCGTTCGAAAACAAAAGAAAATACTTTTTTTTTTTAAATAAAAAAAATAAAAATAAAAAAAATCAATACACATACTGTAATTCAGGCTAAGTAAAGACATTGCAATGCAGGGCGAACAGGCAAAAAGAATCAGTACAGTTCTTCAACATCAACATGGGTAAGTCAGTAAGAACGGTTCAAGAGTGGATCACAGGAACCCTTGCAAAATTCTTCTTTTTTTAGAAAAAAAAAGGGGGAGAGAGGGGGAGAAAAAAAAGTTCTGTAGCTACAAAGCACAAGAAATATACCTTTAATAATATTACAGAATAATCATTGATATTGGTATTGTAATCATCGTCGTTGTCGTCGTCATCATCATCATCGTTTGTTGTTATTATTGTCATCCATTTTTTTTTCTTTTTTTTTTCTCAATTATGTCTACTTGTAAAGATTCTAGAAATGGAGGATCTATAGCTTCCTACAAAGACCGACAGCCCAATGAGCCTCCACGTCATTTCTCCGAGCCCCACATCTACCCACCCTCCCCCTAACCCCGCCCTTTCTTTTTGCTGCGTCTGTCTTTTCGGTTTTCTTTTTTTTTTTGTTCTTTTTATTTCATATTTTATTTTCGCACCATTAGCTATGTGAAGCGGTTAGCTGTTTCTTTATACAAAGGCTGAGGGGTCATGCTATCAGTGACGGGGACTCCATTACCCAGCCAACTAAAACAGGACGAAACCTAAGAAAGAGAAGGAATGAAGAGGGAAGGGTGACAATGGACGAGAGGTAGAAGAATGGACGAGGTGTAATAAGTACAAAGGAAGTGTGTGGGACAGATGATCAATAAATAAATTAATAAATTAATCAACAACAATACAAAAGTAAAAGTTCCTTACAAGACAAAATGTTAATAAGTTTTCATAACAGTGACCTAGTGTTTCTAGTACTATTCCCAGACACGTCATTCTCAGAAGGTTGGCACTGATATGATACTCGCAATCATCGGACTGGTTCGACGGGCGCCGAGCTGCGCCGGGACCTTCCCCAGAAAGCTGACCTAGGGACGGGGACGGGTAGACGAAACGCAAGAAAAGCCTGGTGGGTGTGTCCATTCTCTACGATATATCGAACGGTACTACAGTGATTACAAATCGGGAGCGGGAACACGCTACAACTGACTTGAACCATAGTGCTTGAGACTAGCATAACTGTGGATTCAGCTAATGTCACATTATCGTCAAAGTAAATTCATATAGCCAGGCAAACATGTACCCCCCCCCCCCCCCCCGACTGATATTCATGTAATAAATATACATACAATGACATAAAACATTAAAAAAAATAGTAAAAGAAAGACATTTATCAAAAAGGAAAATGAGGGTTGTTTAGTTCAAACGATAAAGACACGATGGAAAAGGGGGCAGAACGAAACGTACGACGGCAAAGGGAAACAAAAACACACGCACAAAAAAAAAAAAAAGGTCCCAACTTTGTTCTAAAACCATAAAGGCTGGGTTTCTATAAGAAATCAGTTCTGTTGGCAGCTCTTTGAAAGACAAACTAAAAACATTTCATATATATATAATATATTTATATATTTGTATATGCCTATTTTAAAATTATCATTATCATTATTTACCAACTTGCATTTTCAATAGTAATCATTTCCAAAGGAGTGGCTCGAGAGGGAGGGGGCGGGCCTCAGTACAAGCCGCAGCCTCGCAGGTTGTTGGCGATGATGATGTCGGTCACGGCATCGAACACCACCTGGATGTTTCCTGTATCCGTGGCACAGGTCAAATGACAGTAGATCTCCTTATTAGGCGAGCGGTTCTTGCTTTCGAATTGTGCTTGAATGTAAGCAGCTGCATCGTCGTAAGTGTTTGGACCTACGGAGGCAGATAGAGATCAGATGAATAAGTGAGAGAAAGATGTGCTGCTATTAAAAAATGAACGATCTTTGTCATTCCAGACCAGGGGTGTCCAATCTCAGTCCTAGTTCAGGACACTTTAAAAAGATACTCCACTTATTTTGGGGAAATTTTGGAGTTTAACCGTTTTTGAATCCATTCAGCTGATCTCCTAGCGTGACTTTGTCATACTCATATCTAGTCAGAATAAGTGTCTTAAAGGAGTAGTTCACTTTTAAAAAAAACTTTTGTTGATAATTTACTCACCCCCATGACATCCAAGATATCCATGTCATTCTTTCATCAGTCAAAAAGAAATTAAGTTTTTTGATGAAAACATTCCAGGATTTTTCTCCATATAATGGACTTTACTGGGCACCAAAAGGTTTAAGGTCCAAAAGACAGTTTCAGTGAAAACTGTTCAAAGGGCTTTAAACGATTTCAGACGATGAATAAGGGTCTTATCGAGCGAAATGATCACTCATTCAAAAAACATAAAGTTTAAGTTTTATAAACTCAAATGCTCGCCTTGCTCTGTTCTGTGATGCGATTTCGTGACTCTCCTGTTTCGAACAAATCTTTTCCTGAGTCAACTCGTTCATTTAGTTCGTTGAATGAATCAAATGACATGAAAAAAGATTCGTTCATTTTGATAAACGAGTTTGAACAGGAGAGTAGCACCTGAGTGCAAGCTTCCATCAACATAACTACACAAACTTAGTCCCGGTCGCATTGGAAGTTATCGAGCTGGGGACTATTTTCAGGCGCTGCATCATATCATTACGCCTGCTGCACTCATGGTACGGCAGTAAAGTTTCTTGATTATTACGCAGGAATGAGAGTATAGTTCCTCGACATATCAGCCTAGAAAATCGTAACTTTACATTTTCCGTCGGCCTTAGTGCGCAAATGTAACTACAGAAGAGTCAAGTTTTAAATAGGAAAAATATGGATGGATTCAAAAACAGTAAAAATCAACAGTTTTAACTCTGGGGAAAGTTGTAAAATGAGCCTATTTCCAAAAAAAAAAAAAAAAAAAAGTGGAGTATCCCTTTAAGTTCAGCTCCAGCTTGCCTCAACACACCTGCCTGGGAGTTGAGTATGCCTGGTTTAGGGGAGTTTAATTGGGGCTGAACTCTGCAGGACAGTGATAAGGACTGAAACTGGACACCCCTGCTCCAGACGCTCGTTAACCCAATGACCTCGGTGACCTCTGACATTCACAAATGTCTCTTCTCTTCTGTTCTCTTACACATCCTTATGAAGCAAGCTGCTGAATCTATGTATTATGTACGAGACCTTTTGGACCAAAAATGATTTGGACAATGTAAGTCACACTGAAAAATGTCTGAATTCAATTGCATTAGAAAGGAAATATCAAAACAAGCAGCATCTACATACAAGTAATACTAGATGATCCTTTCAGTCCTAGTTAAGTAACCACAGACTGGCTTTATCATATTAAACACACGATCCACAAACGTTTGACAACCACAAAATGTCCAAAACCTTCATTTTGAACAATATGATATATTGTTTAAATCTATATTTATTGACTGATTTATTGATTAAATATAAATATAACTAGCACATTTAATTACATATACTGTAATTCCTAATTTTGAACAATATATCAAGATGTTGTTCATTAATTGATTGAATAATTAAATATAAATAATCATAAAATAATTTACACATTAAATTTAAATACATGTAGTATTATTGTCCAAACTTTTATACAATATATTAATATTTGATGTATTTACACATTATTCATTAATTTATTAAAGAGAATCATAATTTAAACATTCATTTTCTGTCATTGTCTAAATGATTTTTTCTTAATTTTAAACAACATATAGAAATTGCAAGATGTTGTGTACTATTTAATGATTCATTATTATAATATTAAAAATGTAGTGCAACTAATTCATTCATGAACATTTTAAACAATATATAGAAATTGCAAGATGTTGTGTACTATTTAATGATTCATTATTATAATATTAAAAATGTAGTGTAACTAATTCATTCATGAAGATTTTCTGTCAAAAGTGTGCTTTAAAAAACACACGGTTAGATATTTGCAAATAATGAAACTACATTTTCATTGTGACTTCAGCGACCGAATGCCTTTTCCATAGAAAGCAACACCGAGGGTGGAATGGGTGTAACGGATGCAGTGACTTGTGTTCTGTCAGACATCCCTCTGTGCCAACCTTTTACCCATGACTGCACATGCAAGATCCAGCTCCTGCTTGACATCCTTTGCCTCCCACGTTACAGAGGCTCCAGAATGAGTCTAGCGTTAAACCTAAAACCATAACATCAGAGGGCATTCTTACCTGTGTATTCAGGGAAACAGATACTCAGGGGGGATTTCTTGATCTTTTCAGCGAACAGGTCTTTCTTGTTGAGGAAGAGAATGATGGAAGTGTCAATGAAGAATTTGTTGTTACAGATGGAATCGAACAGCATAAGAGACTCGTGCATGCGATTCTGCGAGAGGAAAAGAAACCAGAAAGCAGGATAGACAGAGAAAAAGAGGCAGAGAGAAAAACCCTTAGTGGAGATATATAAACAGCAAGAGTCAAGATAAGCAACTAGAGGAAGCCCAAGAGTCCAAATATTGGCATTAGCCACATCATGTGATCAAAGATACTTGTAGGTCTTGATAACAGTTTGGTGAAATGAGTATCATCTTCTCACTCCAATAACGATGATTGTCCTCTGAAATAAGCAGTACTCAAAAAATGAGCGCCACACTTCGGATTTCATGACTATTTTATTCATTCGTGTCATATAAATAGACATCCATTGTTCAATAAATAATCACAGCAATGAGACACATCCAAACAATAATTACAGCAATTTGACAAAAACAAACATACAAAAAGTGGTGGGTGATTGGAGTTCAGTAAGATGTTTGATGGGAGAATCTGTTCGTAATCAGAATCAAATACTCGCAATTTTACACGCAAGTGGCATTTTAAGTGAATTATGCTATTAGCATAACGTACCGCTTGGACTTATTACATTTGTCAGTCTGATGAAAGGATTCTGGATACATTTACCAACAGCTATGGCTAAAGGCCAAGGAACAGATTGGCCTTTGCCCTCAGAAACGGACAGACTCAATTACCCTTGAGTTTCTTTTTCTTGGCCACTGAGCTAATTATGTGTCTGATCTGGTAATTAATGTACATAATCCATTTGTCTTGTTGCTTTACATTCTTTAAAATAATCATCAATTTTATGGCTGATCAATTTCGGATTGAAGTCAAAGGCGTTTACGAAGTGCTAGAATGAAAGTAACTATACGCCAACACGTATGCACTGACCAATAAGGGACCCGAACAATGACTGAATTTTGCTCAGAACTGACACTGGCCTTAACAGTACACACAACTGTTTATAGCTGGCACAATTCAGCATACAGTACATCGAGGAAACCCTCATTTATGATCTAATTAAACCAAATGGCTGAAGCAGTATTAGCCCATAGCTAATAACAGACTGAGGTTTAAAGGTCACACAAGATGATGTTTTACTGAAGTCAGGGTGCAAATTATTACGCTTGAACCCTCCAAAGACAGTCAAAGCTAAAGGATATACTGTAGGTCAGGTCTTTTACTTTACTCATGCTGTGCTACAGGTGCCAAATTACAATTCTGGTAGCATTTCATTTCAATGGTCCACTTTAGTCATTCTACTAACTATAGGTAACTTTGCAACTACATGTCAACTAACTCTCATTAAAGTATTAGAAGATGGTCTGCAACGCTAATATCAGCCAACGCTTTACTTGTTTAAAGGAGTAGTTCACTTTTAAAAACACTTTTGCTTATAATTTACTCACCCCCATGTCATCCAAGATGTCCATGTCTTTCTTTCTTCAGTCGAAAAGAAATTAAGGTTTTTCATGAAAACTCAATTTTTCTCCATATAATGAACTTCAATGGGAACCAAACGGTTCAAGGTCCAAAAGACAGTTTTAGTGCAAACTGAAAAATGTTCAAAGGGCTTTAAACGATTCCAGACGATGAATAAGGGTCTTATCAAGCAAAACAATCTCTACATTTAAAAAAACAACAACAAAGTTTAAGTTTTATAAGCTCAAATGCTCGCCTTGCTCTGTTCTGTGTGACTCTCCTGTTCAAACTCGTTCATCATAATGAACAAATCTTTTTTTCGAGTCATTGGTTCATTCAACGAACGAATTGAACGAATTGACTCGGAAAAAGATTTGAAAAACTTTGTTTGTCTGGAATCGTTTAAAGCCCTTTAAACAGTTTGCAATTTGCACTGAAACTCTTTTGGACCATGAACCGTTTGGTTCCCATTGAAGTCCATTATATGGAGAAAAATCCTGGAATGTTTTCATCAAAAACCTTAATTTCTTTTCGACTGAAGAAAGAAAGACGTGGACATCTTGGATGACATAGGGGTGAGTAAATTATCAGCAAAAGTTTTTTTTAACTCCTTTAAACACTTTATTTTAACACTTTCCCAACTGACTATCAGTAACTTTGCAACTACCTGTCAACTTATTCTACTAACCCTTATAGCTAATCCTATCCTAACCTATCCTAAGTCTACAGTCAACTAATACTCAGTTAGTTGAGATGTTGTTGCAAAGTTGCTCATAGTTAGCAGACTGTCAAAAGTGGACCATCAAAAGAAAATTTGTGTTGCACAAGATTTAAAAAGCCAAAAAAATATAGTTTGAAATGGCCATCCTCCTTAAAATCTGATGTATAATTCACACACACTGACTAAAGTGATTGTTTAGGGAGATGAAGATTAAAAGTGCTGTTCACATACACTCATAGCAGCAAACGTCCAAAGCATATATGGCACAGTGAATTATTGTCATCATACATCATACGCCTGCCTATTCTAGGGCAAGCAACAGTTTCTCAGCTCCGGTTCATTCAGTTCCTGTTGCAGTCATATTCTTGCAATGACTAATATCACGGCTTGCTGCGCTATACTTAAAACTGTGTCGCCTCTAGATATGACTAACCCTACTGCGTACTGTGACCAGGTAATCAAGCGAGATTACACAAAAAACAGCAACGTGTGGTAAAAGAGCTCAGTGAATCATTCACTTCAGTCATACTAATATGAAACATACTTCTCCAGTTGTTGCAGGTGTGTGATTCTGGTGGTATTTTGTATGTGTGTGTATACAAAAGGTTTGTGGTCAGTAAGATTTTGAAATATACATAAAAGGAATTAATACTATTGTTCAGCAAAAAATGCATTGAATTGATCAAAAGTAACAGTAAAGAGTTTTATATTGTTACACAAAGTATAAAAAAAAGAAGCATTCAAATAGAAAAACAATATATCTGCTTTTACATTTGATCAAATAAATGCAGAAGCGGTAAGAATAAGAGACTTCCACCAAGCATTAAAAAATGTTTTACCAACCGTAAAATGTAATGTGCGTGTATAGAGGCACAGCTAAATGAGACATTTAATGGGTTTGTGAAGATATTTTTTATAGCTAATTAATATTAAATAAATATTGCTTTCAATTATACTGTAATGTTGAACGGCTAGAAATTAAGAAAAAAACTATTTAATAGAGACATCAGTAGCATTAGTATCAGTGATAATGGCCTTCACTCATGGTTCTCAGTGTAAAGATGAAAATAAACAAATATACCGTCTTTGCTGTTTCTACATTTATTTGGAGATTCAATGTGAAAATGTGTATTATAAAATAAAAATATATTACAAGTCTTAGTTAGGTGCTATCAATTGTGATTAATTAAATAAATATACTGTATAGGCCTATATAGTGTACAGGAGTGGCCAAAAGTGATGTTCAGTGGGGATTGGCTTGGGTTGGTGTTTTTAATGATCCTACTAGTTCAATCAAACCATCAAAATGTGATACAGTAACACAGTATGAGGGAAAAATAAAACACTAAACTTAAAGGGATAGTTCACTTTGAAATTAATTTTTTGTATGTTTTAGCTTACCTCAAGGGCATCGAAGTTGTAGATGTTTCCACAGTAGTTTTTAAATTTTGATATTTTTAGGTCAAACCGTTTGTCTATCAGTCATATAATGGAGGTCTATGGTCACCACCTCAAAGAGCATGCACAGAGAAGTCCAAATTAAACATGATTTAATGACTCGTAAATGTAAGTACACATTGATGGCCTAAGATACGAAACGAGCGGTTTGTGAGAAAACGAACAGTATTTATACTATTTTACCTCTTGTAGTCAGTCACGTCCAAGTACTCAAGCGCCGGAAAGCAAGTGCCAGAAAGCCCCGGAAGTGATTTCTCGCACGTGTACATCACTGATTTCAGAAGTGTTAACCTTCACTGTGAAGATCTAAACATATTTAGATAGACAGGAAATTGCAATTGGAGACGACTTCGATATATATCAACAGAAAATGTTTTTTTTTTCCGCTTGCACAGACCGAAGCGCTGCCTTCAGATAACTTGGACGTAGCTGTGGTTACAAGAGGTAAAAACCATATAAATACTGTAGTTTTCGCACACATTTCATGTCTTAGGCCATCAATGTGTACTTACATTTACCATTAAATTATGTCATTACATTATGTTTAATTTGGACTTCTCTGTGCATGCTCTTTGAGGTGGTGACCATAGACCTCCATTATATGACTGATAGACACGAACGGTTTGACCTAAAAATATAAAAATTGAAAATACTGTGGAAACAAAGACACCTACATCTTGGATGCCCTTGAGGTAAGCTAAAACATACCAAAAATGTATTTCAAAGTGAACTATCCCTTTAATACTGGTACTTATCTGAAAAGTATTTGGCAAAATTGGGGTAGCTACAGGCTTTATTTGACAACACAAAAAAATCATAGAAAAACGTTTGCAGAAAAAAGCATACTGACCACAACATAACCAGTTTTGCTGGTTCTCTCTTGATTTTCCATGTATTCATAATTTTTTTCTATGGCAGGTAGGAAATGATGTCCACACAATGTGCCATGTTTCATTAAAACTATTGACTCAAAGCACAACTAAGCATTATGCTTACAAAACCTATAATAAAGTTTTAGTAAGTTAAATAAAGTGTGAAGATGCCAATTTCCTAGGCCGGACAGCGCTTTTGTCCACTACTGTATATATTATATAGAAACAACTTGCTTCAGTTGGACGAATGTGATATTGTGATAGCATGTAGCTCTTCTCTCCTTACGAATCAGCTTTGTCTTTTCTCAACACAATATAAAGAGTTAATACAAATACGTTTTCCCTTTTGTGTGTGTACTATTTAATGGGTCCAAAGTCCAAAATTTTGCAGAGTAACACGTCCCGCTGTTTTTTTTTTTTTTTGCTACGCTAAAAGGCTAACATTTTGTGGTTTGGCTCAGGGCACAGGACATTTGCACTCTCTTCTAAATGCCAAGTAAATGTCAAGCCTAGTGTTTCATCAACACTCTGAGATGCCAATTCAGAACACATGTAAAATGAGCCAGCATGTGAAAATTCGTGGAATTCAACATCATAATAGTGCCACCTACATAATCACTAGAATTTAAAATATTGCCATATAACCTCATTTAATCTGGTATCATTAATCTGCATACCGTGCAATAAGGACAAAATGATAGGTCTGAATCTTCAAGCTCAGTTACAAGGATAAAAGTAGCAAGTAGTGGAAGTTTGGCACCAATTTTCCTCAAAATATCTCCTGACCTCTCTCTTACACACCAGGAAGGACATCCAAATCACATATTTGTAACAATGTACCTAAAATCAATAGTTGAGTTCAAATTTAGCACATAAATTAAAAAAAAACATCAAACGGCCTGATGGACATCAATAGAGACAATTGAAAGTATAAAACAAGGACATTAAGTCACATATCCGAGTATTGTGGGGCTGTGAAAGAGCTGGACGTCACTGTGAGTTAGTAAAGACCACAGAAGCGCAGGTTGTTAGCGATGACGACATCAGTGACGGCGTCGAAGACAAACTGAATGTTGTCTGTGTCTGTAGCACAGGTGATGTGCGAGTAGATCTCCTTTTCAATTGACTTGTTCTTACTCTCGTACTCGGACTGAATGTAGTTCACCGCGTCCGTGAATGTGTCCAAACCTGCAGCACAGGATGAGTCAGGTAAGGATGGAAAAGCAGCAGATGAATAAAGGAAGGAGTGAATAAAAGAAAACAGTGGGTGATCCAGAAATGGTGATAAAGAAGGACAAAAGAGAGTAGAAAAGAATTGTGGTAAATATAAACTGGAAACTGAACACTTATTATATTTTACAAAGTAATAAAATAATTGCTGTCATACTTTATATAGCTTTATAATAACTTATATATTATACAAATTATTTTAGCTGTCTGAAAGTGTATTTACAGCAAAGGTTACATTACGTCATAATTGAATAATTTTTCAGTTCCAAACATATTACGTAACTAGTGTTACAATTGCTCTCGATCTCACAGCCAAGGAGAAAATCTTGCAGGATTTTTTATTATTATTTAAAAAACTTCCCGAGGCAGAGAAAATTATGTAATATAGTTCCTAGTTTCAAGAACGTTATTTCTGTTTCTCAAACTTATTTGTGATTGTTTGTGCAGCTTGTCTCGCATATATCATTCAGTGTAATGAGAATGAGGGAATGTTTAAAGGGATACTCCACTTTTTTTGGGAAATAGGCTCATTTTACAACTCCCTCAGAGTTAAACAGTTGGGTTTTACCGTTTTCGAATCCATTGAGACGATTTTCTGATATTTAGAAGAATATCAGTAATCATACAGTTTCTGGTCCCATTGACTTCCATAGTATATAGTTTTTCCTAGTAAGGAAGTCAATGAGACCAGAAACTGTATGATTACTGATATTCTTCTAAATATCAGAAAAACGGCTGAATGGATTAGAAAACGGTAAAACCCAACTCTTTAACTCTGGGGGAGTTGTAAAATGAGCTTATTTCCAAAAAAAGTGGAGTATCCCTTTAAGAGCAACAATGGAGGAAGAGCTCAGATCTAAAATGAACTGAAAATAACAGATGACTTTTTCTCCTCAGTGCTGGAGAATAAAGAAATGCAGGCTGTCCAGATTATGGTTGAGAATCCATCAAAAATGAACAAAGTAAAGGCCATTGTACACCGAGTCAGAAATTTTCATATGCGTTTTTTTTTTCTTTTTTTTCGTATTCCTGATTTGGTGGCTCTGAATCATCAAGACATCATTCAAACTCCTTTTAAACTCCTTGCGAAAAACACAGAAAATCAAATCCGATTCGATTTTTTTAATGGCGGACGAAAGTTTCGTAGGCAGTGTGCAAGCGCGATTGACATAACGTGAGGTCGTATTTATTTTTTAAAGTGCGTAAAAATTCGGTAAATTTAAACTCAATTTCGGACGTGAATTTCGGACTCGGTGTGCAAGGGCCTTAACAGGATGGTTTTGAAGATGTATTGTGCTAATTGGCTTCTGAAGATTGTTTCTCCAATCATCTCCTCATCAATTATTTAGTATTTCCATCCTATCTGTCCTTTCCTTCTGTTGATTAACAGCGGTGTATAATGAGTTTACCTGTGTACTCTGGAAAGCAGATACTTAAGGGAGATTTCTTAATTTTCTCCTCAAATATGTCCTTCTTGTTGAGAAAGAGAATGATGGAGGTGTTTGTGAACCATTTGTTGTTGCAGATGCTGTCAAACAGCTTCATTGACTCATGCATGCGGTTCTGCAGAAAAAAAATAAGATATCAACATCATTTACACAGAGATTTTTTCAGTTTTGTCAAATTTAACTCATAAAATTGTCTCCAAACTATAGCTGAGTAAACCCACATACACACTCTCTCAGGCGCTCTAATCCACATGTAATCACACTCGAAGAGCAAAATCAGAATATGAAGTCAGATATAAACAGAAACGTAAAGAAAAGAAAAGAAAGGAACAGCAAAAAAGCCAGAAAAGGAAAAAAAAACATATTCCGCTATCTGAAGAATGAATTACTCATCTCATACAGTGAATCTTATGTTATTTATAAAGGGAAAAGTGTAAAGATACATTGTCCTTATTTCCATATGTGACTAATAAATGATTATTCTGCTCATTATTTGTTTGTCATCTGAATGGTAATGAATTCAGAGTTGGAAGCAGTGACTCTCTCTTTGATGCGTCCGGTCATTTCAGGAGCAAACGAGGTCAGACGATTAGAAGTTGTGGTTTTGGAAAGAAATTTAATGACTGAAACTGGCATATTTCAGAAACAAGCACACAAGCAAACACTATTCGTTCGTTTCATTCGTTGAATGAACCAAATGACTCATTTTGATGAACGAGTTCGAACAGAACAGAGCAAGGTGAGCATTTGAGCTTATAAAACTTAAACTTTGTAATATATTTATTAAATGAGCGATCATTTCACTTGATAAGACCCTTATTCATCGTCTGGAATCGTTTAAAGGCCTTTGAACAGTTTGCAGTTTGCACTGAAACTGTCTTTTGGACCTTGAACCGTTTGGTTCCCATTGAAGTCCATTATATGGAGAAAAATCCTGGAATTTTTTCATCAAAAACCTTAATTTCTTTTCGACTAAAGAAAGAAAGACATGGACATCTTGGATGAAATGGAGGCGAGTAAATTATCAGCAAAAGTTTTTTGAAAAGTGAATCATCTACAAAAAAAGATGATCTGAATTGTTTTCATCCATACAATGAAAGTCAAAGAGGTCCAAAACAATATCTGACCCCATTGGTGTAGAATATTTGTTGAAATGATTTCATTTCTAGGTGAACTATCCCTTTAAATTACCGCGAGGCGCAACATAAACCCTACTGCTTCCAACTCTTTTTAGTATGCACTTCAACGATAATTTCATACCTGTGGAAGGGCCGTCTGTAGAGCTGGGCTGGATTGTTTAGCGATTGCTTAGAGAAGAAAGCCGATGGCGAGAGATGACAGGAGAGCAGCTGAGATGTTTTGAAGGAGAGACGCAGATGCAGAGGTGGCCGCTGGAGGCCACAGGAGCAGCTGAGCGGAACCGGACATGCACCAGAACCCAACACTTCACTCACATTTCCCACCCCCAGATACCACTGCTGTTCAGACTCACGTACATTTACACACACACACACACACACTGAAATGCTAAACAATAGTCTAGCAATGCAGAATCGTCCCATACATGAAGAAAGGAACAGCTCTAAACAGACGAAAAAAGTCTCACACAGGTCAAACTTAAAAGGAGCGCAGAGTGTTTGAAGGAAATAAACGTATGTTTTCTTGTTGAAATGGAGGAGGAAAGGGCACAGGGTGCACAGGAGGAAATTTGGGACAGAATGTCAGAAGACAAACGCGAGAGTGTGTATTCATAGAATCTGTGTTTATCTCTGTCCGTTTGTTTCGCCAGGACTTTCTTGCAGAATAATTACAGAATCCGTCTTCTCTTTTTATCACTTCCAGATGAATACGGGCGTGTGAGAGTTGCTCTATTTATGGGTGTCCTCTTTTCTAGCCATAAAAGCCCTCCTATATCCAAAACACATCACTGTAAATCTCTCTGATGTTGTAAAAATTCTCTTATCGGAGTTTGTCGAGAGAGAGTGTGTCTAGGCAGATCTGAGGCCTGTGACTCATCACACCTGCCACGGTCACAAAACCAACCGATTGTGTGGGGAAACAAATAATTATGTGTTTCTTCTTTTAAAGGACACTGTAAAAATGTTCATAGACCTTAACAATAAGTTTGTATGGCTTTTTGTGTTGAATTTTATGTAAACATATTGCCATTTACAAGTTTTAATTTGCCTATATACATTTAAAAAAAACTTAATTACTTAAAAAAAGTTAAGAGTTTCCTTCATTTAGTTATTTCTATTTATTATTTAATATTCCCATTTCCATTTGATAACATTAGTTAACATTAACAAAACTTTTAAATTAATAGTAAATCATTTGTTAATCTTAGTTAATGTAACTATATCATTAAAAAAAAAAAACTTGAACAAAACTTGAACATTATTTAATGGCCCTGAGATAACATGAATTAACAATGAACTAACATTAATGAAGATTGATTACAATAGGGTTTCATGAACCCCTAATAAACATTGTAAAAACAATTAGGGAACTAATGGGAACTTATTGAGTTGTTACCATTTTATCCCAGGAAAGTACTTGTTGTCTTAAACTAATGACAACATCACAAGAACACCTAGAAGACGGCCAGTGTTAGCAAAAACAAAAACAAAACAAAAAAACTAGAAAAATGTTGAACCTTTGTGACCACATGGGAACTCCAGCACTCTGAGAACCCATTATATGCAGTTATTTAGTATGGGATAGGCATTTGTAACACAGACATAATACTCAAAGCTATGCCGTTATTTGACTTGTCCAAGTAATTGGACTGAAGTGCCCGTGCCGTCAGATCACTTACACGAGGTAAAAACAATATAAATACTGTTCGTTTTCTCACACAAACCGCTCGTTTCGAGTCTTAGGCCATCAATGTGTACTTACATTTACGAGTCATTAAATCATGTTTAATTTGGACTTCTCTGTGCATGCTCTTTGAGGTGGTGACCATAGACCTCCATTATATGACTGATAGACAAACGGTTTGACCGAAAAATATCAAAATTGAAAATACTGTGGAAACAAAGACACCTACATTTTGGATGCACTTGAGGTAATCTAAAACATACCAAAAATGTATTTCAAAGTGAACTATCCCTTTAAATATTAGTAAAACCCACAGACAGTTGTAAAGGATGACCAACAGTCATTATTAATGGGGAAAAAAATCATTTTTATCCAGTATAAACCTAGTGTATTTGAACCTATAGTGAAATGTATTTTGTAACAGTAAGTTTGTTAAAACTTTGGAATAGAAATACAGTTATCAAATATTCTTATTTATTCATTATTGATGATGACTATTTCTAAGAATTTTACAGTATGCAAAAGATGACACATACACAGTATACACATTACCGAATACGCCGCTTAGTTAGTTCATAATGGAGGCTGATTTCTAAATGCCACTGACCTTAAACATTTCTAAAAACCAGCTATTTAGAGGTCCGTGGCCCTTATTTAATTATAAGGCTGTGGATGATCACTCAGCACACTTTTATCATGGTCACATGATTGTGATTACAGTGTTCTGATCAACTTGAAGATAATTATGTCTGCAGAGGATTTGTGATAAACATCTCATCTGAGGCAACTTACAAAGGAGAAAACATGTTCAAATACCCATGAATCATTTTTCTTAGTTTGTTAGGTGTGCAAAAAGTATATTTGAAACACAGTGCACGTGCAATTATTTATGAGGCTGTGTGTGTCAGACTCGGAGCATAAGCACAGAGCATAAACTCAAAGCATAATGTGTATTTAGTGCTCACCGTGGTCTCGTCTTCATGGAGCACCTGGTCGTATCCACTCAGAGCCACACAGAAGATAATGGCAGTCACATCCTCAAAACAGTGGATCCATTTCTTCCTCTCCGACCTCTGACCTCCCACATCAAACAGCCTGAGAAGACACCACAGTCACAATAATGCACTGCATCTCACACTACCATTAAAAAGCTTGGGGTTAGTAAGATTTGTTTTTTGAAGAAAGTAATGGAGTCATATAATACTTTTTACTGTTTTTCGTTTCCTTTAGTGTGTAATGTATTTGTTTGTGCATGTGTTTATTTTATCTAATGGAGAACAGTGACCCAGATCTGCCTAAAACAACAGATATTACTTCCTCAATGTACAAGTCACAATGTGAAAGATTTGCATAATTCCTGTCTAAAGGCATACGCGAAGAAGGAAGGCGAGGTTTCAGGGTGTGTTTGGATGTGAAAGCAAACCCGAGGTTAAGATGTGTTTATAAAGCTGTTCCTGAGCAGTACAACTCAGTGTTTGCTTGTGGAAAGCACATTTTATGAAGGAAAGCTTCCTGAACCTGGGACTGGGAGAACACAACGCAGACTGCTTGCCACTGTCAAACGTTCTGCTTATGTTGTGTTTGCAAAGTTAATTTCAATCGAACGGCTTGAACATCCGCATTTTCACAATCCGACTCATATTAACTGTGTGTTTACAAACCCTATAGAAGCCTTGGAAGCTGAAGCTCGCGATTACGGTAAGGGCTGTCACGTTTCCGACACACACTTCATAGGTTGTGACCAATTACAATGGTAAAAACGATATAAATACTGGTCGTTTTCTCACACAAACCGCTCGTTGCGTGTCTTAGGCCATCAATGTGAACTTCTATTTATGGGTCATTAAATCATGTTTAATTTGGACTTCTCTGTGCATGCTCTTTGAGGTGGTGACCATAGACCTCCATTATATGACTGACAGACAAGAACGGTTTGACCTAAAAATATCAACATTTAAAATATTGCGGAAACAAAGACACCTACATCTTGGATGCCCTTGAGGTAAGATAAAACATATCAAAAATTAATTTCAAAGTGAACTATCCCTTTAATAATGCATAGTATATGAAAAATAATGTGTTTTTTGAACATCAAAGCATGTTAGCTATTCTATTTCAGCCAATGAAAATAATGAACTTTTAAAATAGTATTATATGAGCCATTTAAAGGGTTAGTTCACCCAAAAATGAAAATTAAGTCATTAATTACTCACCCCCATGCTGTACCAACCCCGTAAGACCTTCGTTCATCTTCGGAACACAAATAAAGATATTTTTGATTGAATCTGAGGGCTGGATCACTCTTCCATAGACAGCCTGAGGGACTGCCTCTTGACGGCCCAGAAAGTCATTAAAAGAAAAGGTTTAAATATTCCATGTGCCTACAGTGGCTCAACTATAACTTTATCAAGCGACGAGACTACTTTTTGTGCGAAAAAAACCCCGTAAATAACGACTTTATTCGACTTTCCATTACTTCCTTATGGGCGCATGCGCGAGAACTGAGACGAGACCGTTCTTCTTCGACTACTTTTTGTTACCGGCTGCTCACCGCTTTGGAGTTTTACCGCCCCCTACCGTATAAGATGACGTACTGCTTGTAAACAGAACGTTTTGCGCCTCCGGCTATATCAGTACGTCATCTTATACGGTAGGGGGCGGTAAAACTCCTAAGCGGTGAGCAGCCGGTAACAAAAAGTAGTCGAAGAAGAACGGTCTCGTCTCAGTTCTCGCGCATGCGCCCATAAGGAAGTAATGGAAAGTCGAATAAAGTCGTTATTTACGTTTTTTTTTTTCGCACAAAAAGTAGTCTCGTCGCTTGATAAAGTTATAGTTGAGCCACTGTAGGCACATGGAATATTTAAACCTTTTCTTTTAATGACTTTCTGGGCCGTCAAGAGGCAGTCCCTCAGGCTGTCTATGGAAGAGTGATCCAGCCCTCAGATTCAATCAAAAATATCTTTATTTGTGTTCCGAAGATGAACGAAGGTCTTACGGGGTTGGTACAGCATGGGGGTGAGTAATTAATGACTTAATTTTCATTTTTGGGTGAACTAACCCTTTAATACTTTTATTCAGTAATAATTCACATTGAATTGATCAAGTGACAGTAAAGTTAAATATTTATAATGTTTAAAATGAGTTATTTCAAATAAATGCAGCTCTTTTTTATTCATCGTAGAATATAGAAAATCCAGCATATTAGAGTGATTTCTGAAGGATCATGTGACACTAAAGACTGGAGTAATGGCTACTGAAAATCCAGCTTTGCCACAAAATAAATAAAATACATTCAAACGGAAAACAGTTGTTTAAATGAATAACATTTCATAATATTACCATTTCCCTGTATTTTTTATATAAAAAAAAGAAATAAATGCTACCTTTCTGAGACTTCCTTCAAAAACATTTTAAATATTTCCACTCCCAAACTTTTGAACGACACAGCTAACGTGGTGTTTTCTCCTCAAAAACTTCCCTAAAGCGAAATGATTATCCATTAAAACAAAATTTTTACAAAGTAGTTGCCAAAATTGATGTCTTAATGGGGTTGGTTCGGGGACTTGTTTTTAATGACCCAAGAAGTTTGATTAAACCATTTAAATATGAGGAAAGAACAAAACACTAAACTTGGTTAAGGTATTCAAAAAATTACATTTCATTACATACATTGACTACTTGCATGACAGTCTGGCCAAAAATGACGTCCACACAAGTTGGCATGTTTTATAACGTTATCACAAATAAAACGGCTACCTCCAAGCACAACTACGCAAAATGATTACAAAATCTTTAAAACAGAATTAAATTAAAAATCATCACTTTTCGCCACTACTCTGCATTTTATTATATAACAATATGCTATAAAAGCCCTAAATCTTAAATCTGTAATGATTTCCATTCAATATTATGAGTGGATCTGTCATTCAGATGCTAGTATCAGCTTGAAAACATGTGTTTCTGTTTCTAAACCCTAGTTTCTGCCATAACAGTATGACGTCTTGTTAAATCTGTCTTCAGAATAATGTGGCAGCTCTGTCTGTCCAACCCCATCAACACTTTTTATTTTAGTCTTCTATTTTCACAGGCTATAAGAAAAAAAAACCTGTGAATAAGGAGCTGATATGAAGTGAGAGAATGGCAGTGTTTGGAGATAAGCATCTCGAAGCATAATCACGGTCTATAACCACTTCAGCTGTAATGCGAGAGTTAAAAACACTTTTTGCTGAAAAGAGTCTGAGTACACATATATTAAATCAGACTATTTTATCTAGCCATGGCCTGATTATGATTCATGAATGAGTGAAAAGGATAACAACTGTAGTACTCTAACAGCCAGAGAGAGACACGCTGTACCTTAACACACCAATCAGTCTCACCTGAAGTGCAGATTCTTAAAGGTGAAGTGGGTTTCTACAATCCCGGTGGTCTTCACTCGAGTTCGCAGAATGTCCTGCTCTGTGGGCTGGTAGTCTGCAGCACCGATCCGATCTAAACTGTCTAAGTAACTGGAGGAAGAATGAAAGACAGCTTGTTAGGACCCACAGTTTTCCACAGAGTCTGAGAAACTGTCATTCACATGAAGAATAAAAGTCTCTTGAGATACTAGTAACTTCTCAACCATGAATATCCAAAAGTTGCTGCTGTTTTTCTCAAATCATAAAAGCATCAGTCTCTTAAGAGATTGTGGTGTGAATTCACTAAACAATGCTGCATTTCAGTGCAAAAAACGTATATTTTATTCACTAATCAGCCACAAAATATCTTAATCAAGTGTTAAAATCAGTAACTGTCATTTTATAATATATATATATATATATATATATATATATATACACACAAAATAATTGTATATATATATATATATATAATTGTGTGTGTGTGTGTGTGTGTACATATATATATATATATATATATATATAAAATAAAGTAACTGTCATTTTATAATATATATATATATATATATAATATATATACAGTATATATATACACACAAAATAATTATATATATATAATTGTGTGTGTGTGTGTGTGTACATATATATATATATAAAAAATTTAATATTAATATAATTATTTAATTATTAATATAATTTATATATATATATATATATATATATATATATATATATATATTACACAATTAATCTCGATTAATCACATCCAAAATAAAAGTTTGTGTTTACATAATACAGTATATGTGGGTGCACTGTGTATAATTACTTTGTGTATATATATATATATATATATATAAATACACACACATGCATGTATATTTAAGAAAAAATATTATTCATATATAAAATATTTATATTTATATATAATATAAATTATATATAAATCTATATACAGTATATACATGAAAATATTTCTTAAATACATACAAGCAAGTGTGCATAATTATATAAAATAATTATACACAGTGAGTGCACCCACATATATTATGTAAACACAAACTTTTATTTTGGATGCGATTAATCGTTTGACAGCCCCCAAAAAATATCCATGTACATTTGGCTTATAGTTTGCACATTATTTATTTACTTTTTTAAAAAAAACTGCTATTTACCTAGCACAACTAACACACTGTTTATTGTGTTTACCATGACATTTGTATTTCATCAGTAATTATGATATTATAATCAGGCACATGCTAGACCATATTAGAATGATTTCTGAGGGATCGTGTAACACTAAAAACTGGAGAATAGGTCATATTTTAAAACATATAGAAAATTGATAAATCAAAATATTATTTCACAATATCACTGTTTCATTGTATTGCTGAGCATATGAGACTTTAAATACTTAGGATATGTTATATGTTGACAGATTCTCATTTATGTTAGCTCTGACTGAAAAACGATTGCTTTTCGTGTAATAGTGAGTGTCAACAAAACAAATGAGAGTCCATCCCTACTAAAGACAAAATCATAAACGCAGAACAGTCAATCAGACTCTAGGACTATGAGTCAAAATAAAACATGAAACATTCTTCTTGTGCCACTCACAGCTGACACATTTACACACAAGATACCTCTTCAAAAACACAACAGTGATGCGATCAGACCAGAAGAACCGAACCTGATTTTCAACAATGTGTGATGTATATTCTCTAAGGCTGTGGATGTCATTTATCTTCCAGATGAATATGTGTGCTTCCAAATTGGATGCCAGTTGAATTGAAGGTTGAGTACCACGAGACGCCCAAACATCCATCAAAGCATCTGGCTGGTAATACTGGTAGACATCTAATGGATGATTACATCAAAAATGCAATTTCAAAAATGTTTTGACACATTTAGAGGAAAATGACTGCAGCTGGAATTTCAGATCAGCTCGATTTTTCATTTTGTGTCTTGTGTAATTATATCTTGTATGCTTCGGTGTATCTGCTCTTGCTTTTTTATTTTGTTTGCCTAGCTCTTTCTTTCTCGTCTCCCTTCCTTTCCTGTCCATCTGTGGCATTGAGATGTTGCAGTCGAAGGTTTCCTTGGTTGCGGCAGAATTCTGCAGTGAAATGTGAACATTCATCTGTCACTACTGTCTTCAGTGCTCAACGACAACAAAGTCCCTTTAAGACAAGTCAGTTCACTCAACGGGCATTGGATATTTCCCCTTATCCAACTTATTTTTAACATACAGTATAAGCGAGCATGGCCATTCGTAATTTGAATGTTTTTAGCTGTACAAAACAGCTTATGCGGTAACCGTGTTATGTGTTACCGTTAATGCTTATTGATATTGCAAACTGGTATTTCTTATATTATTTGAATGTATTGTCTCAATTATAAACACACTGAGTTTATAGTACAAATAGTTTTACCATTTACCACTTTGTTATTCTTCAAGTTATTTCACTATAGCGACTAATGAATATAGTTTACTTCTGCATTGAACAATAAGGTGACTAGCAACATAGATATAGTATAGGTATCAACTTAAAGGGATACTCTACTTTTTTTGGAAATAGGCTCATTTTACAACTCCCTCAGAGTTAAACAGATGAGTTTTACCGTTTTCGAATGTATTCAGCTGATTTTCTGATATTTAAAAGAATATCAGTAACCAGTTTCTGGTCTCATTGACTTCCATAGTAGAACAAAAATGTACTATGGAAGTCAATGGGACCAGAAACTGTCTGGTTACTGATATTCTTCTAAATATCAGAAAATCGTCTCAATGGATTCGAAAACGGTAAAACTCGACTGTTTAACTCTGAGGGAGTTGTAATATGAGCCTATTTCCAAAAAATATGGAGTATCCCTTTAAATCTACTTAATTGGGACCGAAATATCTAAAACTGTTGGTCAAGATTACATGGCAGTGACATATTAGATTTAAATCGGTCAACAATATCTTCATACTGTAAATGTTTCTTCTCTAGCTCAAATCACGCTTTAAAAACCCTATATTCTTCAGGTTTGTGCAGCTGATGTGCAAAACAAGTCTATCACAATGGCAAATGGCACTAAAAGGAGGGATGCCAGATATTAAGCGTTACAGTTTCTCACATTCATTTTTCTACTACAAGTTATCCATCTTTCCCCCTTGGCTACACGTCCAGCCTTCTGACCTCATAACCTCCCTTCCGCCAAATAATTCAACATCACGCATCATCACTAAACACTAAATCATGATAAACAGCAGTTAAATCTCTGATAATGATGTGAAATTCCCTGTGCCAAGTCTCCACAGATGTAGTGACATGGAGCCAGATTCACACACAGGCTGAAATGGATATAAGAGAATAGGACTGAAAAAATAACAATAGCACGGGGGGACAAGGTCTATGTCATGTGGTCCAAAAGTCTCAGACCACAGGGAAGATCTGAGAAACAAAATCTATTTTTAACCTGGCAATGAACAGAAAGTTTTAGCATTTTAAAAAGGGCAAATGTTCAGAAGTTCTTGCTTCTGTTAAAACACAATTCCCCTTTGACCATTCTTAAATGCTGAAGGTGAACGTGCAACATGTTCCAGGATCAACAATATTCTAATAAACCAATCAGATTTGAGGGACAAGTTCACAGTTTATGTCAATTTTAAGTTTACAACCAGGGTTAGGTGCCCCTCATCAGTGTTATTCCAGCCCGTTCTCATCCCAAGGCATCGTATACTGACGATTTTGACATTTCGTCTACATCCAACGCACATGGCACCCTTTAGCGTCAATACGAGACGCAGATATATATGGGCCAGAAGGCGCCTCCTAGTGGTCTAACCCTAACCCTAAACCTACCCATAACCAAACAAAGCTCTCTGTGTGTTATATTGACGCTAAAGGGTGCCATGTGCGTTGGATTTAACACAGTCTCATCCCAAGATGTCATATAACTGACGTCTTGGGACGTCTTTTGACCATACGTCAACATCGGCCGTTTTAGGGTACCCTTTAACGTCAGTTACATGACGATCCTGGGACGTCATACAACTGACGCTTTACCTTTAACGTCAGTTAGGTGACGGGGTAGGTTTAGGTCTGGGGTAGGGTTAGGATCCGATAACGTCATCTAACCGACCGTCAGTTATATGACGTCTTGGGATGAGACTGCGCTGTTGGATTTAGACGAAATTTCAAAATTGTCACTATATGACGCCCTAGGATGAGAATGCTGGTTATTCGCATATTATTTTCCCTCTGATTTTGGGGATAAGTTTGGCAGGGTTAAGTTTAGGGTACATTTCTGGACAAAATGTGTTGATCCATGAACAAATCTTGCTTGGCAAAGTCACAGTGATACAGGTTTTACACACAAATTATTATAATAAAACCCACTGTATATTGTCAGCCATATATGAAAACAATATAAAAAGCTTTTGAAAGAAACCTCATTGTGTATTTTGCATGTTTCTCTTTTTATGGTTCACTACACTGACTATAGGGGGTGCTGTTGCTGTGACTGGATCAGTTGTATCAATGTTTATGAGTGGCACTTTTGGCTTGAGGGATCACTTAGTCAGTGGCACTTAATCTCAGGTTCTTTCAAGTCTACCTGACACAGTATGTACTCAAGTATGAACTTCTCTCATAGTACGCAGTCTCAAATGGGACATCAGGTGAACAGCACTAATAAGGATGATTGTATACTGACACATTCTCTTCTCTTTGAGAGTATAAGTGCTGTCTCTCTCTCTCTGGGCCACGTTCCTTTGTGACCTGTATCTCCTGGTTGTGCATGCGTCCCTCTCAGCATATTTTGTCTATTAACAAATAGCAGATTTAAGACGGCTATGTTAACTGAGGATTTCCATAAGCTTTTTTTAGAAAGCAATTCCGCACTGGCCAGATAAAACCACTATAAGCGCCACAGTATTCTTACATTACATTTGACTAAAGGCAAATTTCTCTAGAGTCATGGCCCAGAGACAGGTATGAGTGTTGCCTTTGGGTGAGAGTAAAACATCTTGGGATGCAAAAGAAAATTGTCTGAAATAGTTCTTGATAAATAATTTATTTAGCTATATATATATATATATATATATATATATATATATATATTAGGGG